TCAAAAATTTAAAATTAATTGATTTTAAAATGGATTATAACAAAATATTTTTAGTTTTAATATCTTTTTCATACTAAATATTAATCGAAAAAAATTCCTAAAACGCCAGATTTTGTCATTTATTTTTAACATTTTGTGAAAAAAATAATATTAAAATTATTAAAATTTATAAAATATTAAAAAATGTGGAAAACTAAAAATCTACTTGCTAGAATAACAAAGCACAATTAATCAAGAATGTCCTCATATATAATAGAAATAAAGCAAGCCAAGTGAAGTCAGGAGAGTATGATTATCCGTTTCAGTTGCCAGATCCAAGAGTAAGAAATCCCTATTGCACAATACATTGAGATCAACATTAGAGGTAGAAAGGGAAGCTTGTCACCGAGAAGGTAAGGATGCAAAAATTGACCCCATGTCTCTACCACCACAACACCTAAGAGGTAACTCTTTGCGACCCAACCGAGCTCGAACCATTGTTTCTCAGCAGCGGTTCTGGAAATTCCCTTCGAATCAGATTGAGTGGCCTTCTTATCAGACTGCAAAGAGCCCTTTGTCCCTATGATCTTCGGGAATAGTGCGGAAAAACAGAACCACATCAGGATCGTGTGTAGCAGCAACAGCAACAGCAATACTTTTATCGGGTATTCTTGGGCCTCGTATATAAGGGGAAAGAGCGAGTAGCAAGACACTGTTGCAACAACATATGTGGAACAACATGCACGTTAGTTTTCGAAATTTCATGCTCGTAAGTGATAAACTACATGTCAATATTTTAGTTTGATGAAATTCATTTCAAGTTATCCACCTGATAATAAAAATTAGACAAAAATGTGAATGAAAGCAACTGAAACCATGGATGAATAGACAATGCCAAGGTTCTGCTCAAGTGTAATACCTGTACAAGTTTGAAAGTCGAACAAGAGATAACAGAGAGGAGAAGGATTACCTACGGATAACAAGAAATAATGCTTTGAGTCCTCCAAACTTTCCACAGCAACAAGAGCAAGGGGGATAGATATGTGTAGTGATGCTTTCTCATGAATATGCCACCCAAATAAAAAACCACACGTGTATGCATAGGCGACCGATCTGGCAATCAGCCTCGGCCTGGGATACCTCCAAGTTTTAAAAAGACAAGGAGATAAGGCAAGCAGGACCATAATGAAGGTTGTCATGGGTGTTATCTGCCATTTCATAGAGATCCAATATAATAAGACAGATTAATCAGTAAGTTTACCATAGACAAAACGGAAATAGCATCTCATCAAATGTTACATATAAACAAGGAACAATATCGAACAACACAGCTAACAACCAATGCCTCTACTCGTTGCTGAGGACATGTTTATCAAAGGGATAAGGGAGTAGGTATCGACATGAATATCAAATTGATTGGCAATTATGTACCAAGATCCATCCTACTATATTAACCGAATCTCCTTACCCGAGGTAATACAGCAAACGGTGATGCATCGCCAACTAGTCCACCTGTGAATGAAGCTACTGGTGATGGAATATCGAACCCAAATTTCCTCAGCAAGAAAGCAATTCCTTTATCTAACACTATATAGAAAACCCAAAAGTTTGGAGCCCAGTAAGCATGGCAGAGTCCCCTGCCAAAAGGAAACATTCGGCGGATGACTTGTTGTATCTGCAAGGTATTTGCTGCACACTTAATTCACTATACATAACAAGGTAATTAATGGCTTTAGGCATTAGCACTTACAGCACGACTAATAAGTAGAACTAGAAAACTTGCTAAACAACATGCACTTCCCTAACTTTTTTAAATCTGTGAAGCAAAGCTATCATTTTTTTATATCAAGCTCTTCCAATATTTAGTTATCTAATAAATCTGTCAAAATTCAACAGTATATCAAGTTCTTTACAATAAATCGAAGATGAATTACCTGTCCATGATAAACAAATGGCCCATATGCAGCTGCGAAAACGGCCACAACAATAGCTCCCAAAACAGAAAGCCGAGCAAAACCCCGAACCAGGCCACCTCGACAGTAATGCCTCAGCAAGTAAACAAAATAAACAGGGGCCGCCACCGCAAACAAATGCTTAAAGCACAACAACACAGCAAACATAAAGCCACCCATCAAATCCCTACCTTGCGCTAAAAACGAGATCGACAACAACAACCAGCCAAACAAAAACCCATTGTACTGAAAATGGAGGTGGTCCACAATAAGGAGTCCCGGAGACCAAATCACAAACACCCATACCAAATTCCGCTTTAGAGAAGCCAAATTTCGAGTCGATATGTGAACCCCATATTGTAGAAACAAATCTGAGACGATCACTGATATCCTCTGGAAATAAATGGAGGAATCGGCTTTGTAACTAAGGCCGTGATGGAGATGGACGATCCATGGGTCAATTAGAGGAGCAAAGAAGGAGAGGAAGCGTTCGAAGTAGGCAAAGAAAGGAGGGTAATCGAGGGTCCATTCACTCGTCTCGTCGTAGTACCATTGACCGAGAGGAAGAGAGTGGGTAATGGCCAGCCAGTGGCGGTGGACTTCCAGGTCCGTGCTGTAGTAGGCTGGGATTAGTAGCAGCTTTACGACGGTGGCTATGCCGAAAAACCAAAGGAGTTGTGTTATGGATGCCGGCGATCGTGGACTCTCTTGCAGTTTCATCCCACAATTACAACACAGCCGAGAAAACACTACGGATTTCACGAACTGGGTTTACGGCAACGTTAAGTAACAAGTAATGGAAATTGACAATTTGTTCAAGTTGGACTTATTAATAACATTATAGAAATAGACGAACAAATGACATCGAATTAGAGAATTTGTATTTCAAATTTTAACATAGTAGAGGTAAAAAACCATATGAAACCTTTTCATTTAATCTAATTTGGGAAAATACTGACCAGGGAAATGCCTACCAGCATTGCATCCAAATGTTTATAACATCTTTTTGGTACAAATTTATTACTTCTTTGATGCACTGAAGCTTATAACGCTCCTCTCCTTTGATCTTCAAGAAGCATGTTTCTAGCCATCTGAAGTTCTCTCAGCACATCTCCGATGTTCATTCGTTCGTTTGGCGAATCAGCCGAGCATGACACTCCTATGCTAAGCACCGAGCCCAAACATTTCCAAATGTTGTCGATGCCTCTGCTGCTTTGACCATTTTGATTGACGGCTGCTTCACCTTCAAAATTGAGCCAAGTATCAACTATCTCCGCCACATGATCAGGCATGGCCGTCTTAACAGGCTCACCCAGGCTCAACTTTCCAGTGAACATGCTGTCGGTGGGTCTTTTGCCTGTAAACAGCTCCATTAAAACTATGCCATAGCTGTACACATCACCGTGTGTTGATATTTCCTTTCCCATTCCATATTCTGCAATTCCAAACATTGGTCATCAGGATGAATATAATTATATCTAATACAAAAATGCATGAAGTTCTTTACTAACGGAATTACCTGGAAGAATATATCCCACGGTTCCTCTTATACCCATCGAACTGCTTTGCTCGGTTGCCTCCGAAAGAAACTTTGTTAGGCCAAAATCACTAATATGGGCTGTAAGGTCGGCATCAAGAAGAATATTGCTCGGCATTAAATCACCATGGATGACCGAGTTATCGAATTGGGAATGAAGATAATCTAATGCAGAGGCTACATCAATGGCAATGTTGAGCCTCTGAATTAGATTTAAGCTTGGTGAATTGTGTACGTCCGTTGAACTCGGATGTCACCAAGTTTCTAAGCTCCCTTTTGACATGAGTTCGAACATCAAGGCTTTGAAGTCGTTACCTTGAAAATCCATGCTTGAGCAAGAAGTAATGACCCTGACGAGATTCCGATGCCTAAGCTTCCTAGGGGCTTCACATTCAGCCTTGAAAGCCCTGTTGGCACCCCGCTGTTGAAGATTAAGTACTTTCACAGCAACTGTTGTTTGATCATCACCACTTAGAATCCCTTTATAGACCGAACCATATCTTCCCTTACCAATTAAGTTGGCTGAAGAGAAATCATCAGTGGCATGGAGGAGCTCGGCGTAGGAAAGTTTAAGATGTTTCTTCCCTGATGGGCTGATAATGCCCTCTCTCTTTTTTGACAAGCTGACCCGTGACCCGTCGTTTGATTGCAAAGAGGCATATTAAGAACAAAACAACAAAGAGGATAATACTAGTCACAATTATCGCTCTAAGTGGGAAGTTTTTACTTTTCTTTGCAATTTCTGTAGGACAAGTAGTCAATCGAAGTGGCTTGATCCCTCCGCATAAGTCGTTTCCAACGATGGAGAATGCACTGATGCTGTCAAACACTCCGTTAGGTACTTTGCCTCAACTTTGAGCTAATGCAAAATATTAATTAAATTATCCCTAGAAAAACGAAGCAAGATAAAATTTGTGTTTAACCTGAGAAGCTTAGTGATAATAGCTTTGATTTGAATTCCTTTAAATTGAAATTGAAATTTAGAATTTTGGTTTATGAAATAGATTTTTAGGGTTTTGTTGTTTGTTTTACTTTTCATTAAATTTATTTATTTATTTATTTATTTCTTACTTACCTATTTAAATACTCCACATCCAAATTTATTGTTTGTTTTATTAACGTAAGAATTTGATTGGCTTATATTGATAGTTTGGGAATGAAATTAAAACGATTTAAAGTTTAAGAATTAATTTAGAATGAAAGTCATAGTTTAGGGACGTCTAGTACAATTGAATCTATTTCTAACTTTGGAACGACAATGAAACTACCCTAAAAAATAACTGCTAGCACGAATGGCCCTAGTGTAGTGTTGGCACATGCAAGCAAATGTCAAGTTTTATGCCGCATCATTACTGCATAAAGTAATGTTCAACCGTATTGTTTAAAGTCAAGTCCCTAAAATGGCAAATAAATGCAATTCTATCAGCTGGTTGAGATGGATAGATGGAACAAAGAGTGGAGAAATTTTGATAATAATAAGAGAAGTTTAGCATAGTAGAGGGACCAAAAACTTATGTGGCCCTTTTATTTAATCTAAATTAAGAAAATACAGTCTATGGAAATGCTTAGCAGCATTGCATCAAAATATCATGTTTATAACATCTCTTTGGTATAAATTTCTAACGTCTTCTGTGATGCACTGAAGTTTGTAACGCACTTCTCCTTTGATCTTCAAGAAGCATATTTCTAGCCTTTTGAAGTTTCTCAGAACATCTCCGATGCTCATCGTTCGTTCGGCGAATCTGCCGAGCATGACACTCCTATGCTAAGCACCGAGTCCAAGCATTTCCAGATGTTGCTACTTTGGCAATTTTGATTGACTGCTGCTTTATTTTCAAATTTGAGCCAAGTATCAACTATCTCCACCACATGATCAGCCATGGCCGTCTTAACATATTCACGTAGACTCAACTCTCCTGTAAATATGTTGTCAGTGGGCCTTTTGCCTGTAAACAGCTCCATTAGAACGATGCCATAGCTAAACACATCACCATGTGTTGATATTTCCTTTCCTATTCCGTATTCTGCAATTCCAAATATTGGTCATTAGGATGAATAGCATTGTATCAAATACAAAATTGCATCAAATTTATTAATGTGGAACGGAATTACCTGGAGGAATATATCCAATGGTTCCTCTTATTCCCATAGAACTGCTTTGCTCAGTAATGGATTGCTCAGTTGTATCCGAAAGAAACCTTGTTAGGCCAAAATCACTAATATGGGCTGTAAAGTCGGTGTCTAGAAGAACATTGCTCGGCTTTAAGTCACAATGGACTACCGGCTTGTCAAATTGGGAATGAAGATAATCTAATGCGGAGGCAACATCAATGGCAATGTTGAGCCTCTGAATTAGATTTAAGATTGGTGAATTGTGTAACTCGGTTGAACTTGGATGTAACCAAGTTTCTAAGCTCCCATTTGGCAAGAGCTCGAGCACCAAGGCTTTGAAATTGTTACCTTGAAAATCTATGCTGGAGCAAGATGTAATGACCTTGACGAGATTTCGATGCCTAAGCTTCCTAAGGGCTTCACATTCAGCCTTGAAAGTCCGATCGGCACCCTGCTGTTGAAGATTAAGTACTTTCACAGCAACTGTTGTTTGATCATCACCACTTAGAATCCCTTTATAGACTGAACCATATCTTCCCTTGCCAATTAAGTTGGCTAAAGAGAAACTGTCGGTCGCATGAAGGAGCTCAGCGTAGGAAAGTTGTGGGTGTTTCTTATCCAAAGGTGTGGCAAGGCCCTCTTTCTTTCTTGACAAGCTGAGCCGTCGTTTGATTGCAACAAGAGAAATGAAGAACAAAACAGCGAAGAGGACAATACTGGATGCAATTATCGCACTGCGTCGAAAGTTCTTCCCTTTCTTTGCAATTTCTGTAGAACAATCAGGCAATCGAAGTGGCTCAATCCCTCCGCATAACTTGTTGTTTCCAACAACCGAGAATGCACTGATGTTGTTGAACACTCCTTTCGTTGGCACTTTGCCTTCAAAGCTATTGAAAGACAAGTTGAGATTGGTGAAAAAGGGAAGTTCAGCTAGAAACTCTGGTATTAGGCCTGAGAGATTATTGTGGGAGACATCAAGAACTTGCATGCTTCTCAATTTTTGGAATGAAGAAGGAATAGTTCCTTCAAAAGAGTTCCCCCGCAGGTAGAGATATTCTAGCATCACACAGTTTGAAGAGAGGTTGGAATCTCCCCATGAAGTTTGTTCCTTGATACATCCAACACGTTGAGATTTTTGCAGTTTCCAATCTCTGGTGGCAAAGTTCCCGTTAAACTATTTGAATCAAAGTAAAGTTGTATTGAGAAGGAACAGGGACCGATAACTTCCTTCGGTATCATGCCATTAAGACGATTCCTTGATAGATCCAATAGTACCAAGTAACTGCAGTTACCCAAAGATGTTGGTATGCGTCCTTCCAGCAAATTATCAAATAGGCTGAGCTGAATTAGTTGGGTTAGATTTCCCAAAGAATGAGGAATTTCCCCTGTGATTCTATTTATGAAAGCACCGAAATATTTCATCTTGGAAAATTTTCCAACAGAATCAGGTATACTGCCTGTCAGCATGTTTCCATATAGTCCAAGCCACTCCAAGCCTACAAGGTTTCCCATCTCTTTCGGTATGGTACCGGATATATAATTGGTTTGAATTCGCAATTGATTGAGATTTGCAGAGAGATTCCCAATTGAATCAGGCAAAATGCCTGTGAGGTTATTTTTGGATAAAGCTAAGAAAACAAGATTGGTGCAGTTAGTCAATGAAGTGAGAAAACTTAAATCATTGGAACTCTCAAGGAAGTTGGTACCTAAGTTCAAGTATTCTATATTTTGAAGGCTTCCCAAATTCCTTGGTATCGGTCCTGCCAGTGCATTTACACCCAGTTCAAGGCTTACGAGCCTGGAGAAATTGACTATTGATGTTGGAATTGGCCCTGAAAAGTTGTTTTCCCCGAGAGAAACGAACTCAAGATTAGGAAGGGTCAAGCCTATGTAAGGAGGGATCTGACCTTGTAACTGGTTATCAGCTAAAGAAAAAAAATAAATGGATGAGATATTATATAGTTTATTAGGAACTGTACCAGAGAGCTTGTTTAAAGACAACTGAAGAAATTTTAGTTTGGTGAGGTGGCCGAGCTCACTTGGAATGTTTCCTTCGAGGTGGTTCTGCATCAGGGAAAGATGAAGTAGAGAAGAGATGTTCCCTAATGACGGTGGAATTGTTCCTATGAAGTTGTTCCTGGTTAGTTGAAGAGTTTGGAGGCTAGACAATGAACCGATCTCGGCATGTATTTCCCCACCGAGCGTATTTCCCACTATGTCGATGACTTTTAGGTTCGAACAATGACTAAGGTTTCTTGGAAGTTCACCTTGGAAGGAGTTGTTAGTGAGAAGCAATGCCTCTAGACGACGCAATCGAGTCACTTCTCGAGGGATTTGACCACGGAAGCTATTGTTCCCGAGATCGATCACCCTAAGGAACGTGAGGTTGGCTATGTGGGGAGAAAGGTCACCTGCCAGCTTGAGTGATGATAGATGTAGGACGGTCACTCTCCGATGCCGGCGACCGCATATTACTCCTGGCCAGTTGCAGAAATGTAGAGAATCATTCCAGGAGTTGAAGACCCCGTAAGGATCAAGAGGTATTCGAGCCTTGATGGCCAGCAATGCTTGTATTTCAGTCTCATTCCTTGATGTCCTGGATTTAACATGATCCAACTTACAAAGACTGCAAAACAGGAAAAGAATGCAACTTAGTAGCTTCGATAACATGGTATCTGTAGGGAAATTCAAATACTAATGACCCTTCTTCTGTTTTTGGTTCCTTTTTAAAGGCAATTACAGTCCCTCCAAATATTTCAAGATAGACTAGAAATATTCAGCAAAGTCAACTAATAGAAAATTGTGAGTGGCGTGACGCGTACTACATGTTAAATTCTCCCTATTTCAACAATGATTTATTTCCCAGGAAAATACTTGTTATTTCCACCACCCATTCCGGTCCTCACGGCACACGAAAATAGTGATGGCTAACTTGTAATAGGTATTTTAGTTTCGATTTAGAATGCTGTGGATAGTGTTTTATGTCTTTGGTAGATTTGGTTTAAAAAAGTTATCTCTTTTAAGTATATTTTTTACTCGGTCGTTTTCTCAAGTAGTGTTTCCTTTTTATGTTCTGTCCTTTCACGTTCTTTATTGAATTTAATCCTTACAAATATTATTTAATCTGAAATTAACTGTATTTATTTTTATTTTTATTTAATATTATTCTATAATTTTTTATTTATTTTTATTAGATTGTATTAAATATTTAACTAGATTGTAAAATAAATAGGGGTCAATTTTAGACTAAATATTAAGGAAATTAAATTGAATAAAAAGAAAATTTGAAAGACTTTTTTTATATATAAATCTAGGGCGAATACAATGCAATATTTATTCAAAGTCTCTCAACCATTTGACGATGAACAATTATATCCTACATATGTGGTACTCGAACTCAGGACAATATAACAACAATCCCTTAAGGCTGTCTTAGAAATTTTAATATTTTTAAGAGTTAATTATATAAGATATCCCTAAACTATAATCATTTAGATATCCCTAAACTATAATTATCAATCTAAATTGATTTTAAATTCATCATGAAACTGTATGTACATGTTCAATCAAATTCTTACACTAAATTGATGAATCAAAATACGAGATAAATAACTTAAGGCATACATAAAACACCATCCATAAGGATATTTCGTCATATAATTTATTTTTTAAGATTCAATAAACTTCTATTACAAATGCAGGACTCATTAAACAACAACAATCCTTGATATAAATACCAATAAACTCGAAGGATGGAAAGAACAAATAAAAAGGGTGATATTCTCAATTTTGAAGCTTTGTTGTTTGTTTAACTTTACATTAAAACTATTTCTTTATGACTTAATTAACTATTTAAATGTTCCACATAGGTGATTACAATACACTTAACAAATTTATTAACAGTTTTTTTTAAAAAAAGGAAAGGGATTAAATGTAATACCCAAAAATTTCAACAAGTGACTAAAATGAAAATTTTGAAAGTTGGTGACTAAAGTATAAAATTAGAAACATTTAGGGATCTAAAGTGTAATTTTGAAAATTTTATATATTTTGGTTACATGAATGGATAGTTTACCTTAAAAAGAAGGATTTTTATTCTGTTAGATTTTCAATCTGAAATTTGTAGAAAACGCTATTTATACGAATACGTATATGGATTAAGGGTGTTACATTAAAACTATATACACTGATAATTTAAATAATTCAAAGATGAAACTGTAAAATTTAAAAATTAATTTAAATAAATTTTTTGACAAATTTTAAATATAATTCTAATCTTATCTAGAGGGGAGATAAATGAAACTCTATGAAAAAAAAGAAAAATACTTTTAGCGAGACTAAAACTCATAACCTAAAAAAAATATAAGGGAACAAAAGTGAGTAACTTAGCCAACCGATCGAATGTAATTATTCTAAATAAAAAAGTTATAATTTGAGAATGTTTAATATTATTGACTTTTATTTTGGACTAATGAAGAAACTACTCTAAAAAACTGGTGGTATGAATGGCTTTAGCTTAGTCTTGCCACATGCAAGAAAATCTCAATTCTTAAGGCTCATTATTGCATGAAATTAATGTTCGACCGTATTGTTTAAGTCAAGTCAATACAATAAGAAATAAATTGCTGTTTTCTTAGCTGGTTGACATGGATTGATCGGTTCGATTTTTCAAAAATAATTTCTACTTCCTAAGAGGAGAAAGAATAATTTTATTCCTAATAACTATAGAACTTATAACTTAAGTGAAAGGAAAGGATCATATATAACATATTGTAATCGGCATGAAAGAGTTTTTATATGATTTATGGTAAATATAATTTATTTTATTTTATTATTCGATCACGCAATTAGTATTGTATAAAAATTTCATTAATTATACGAATTAAGCATCCTCGGTTGTTAGAGGTATGACTGTTATCTCTAGATGTTTCGGATTTGAGTATCATCAACTGTATAATATTGATATTGTCGCGGCCGTCTTTCGGGTGGACCCGGAATTGGGCTTCAACTTGAATAATTGGGTTAGAGTCACCACCGACCATTTTAAAACATTTAGGTAGGTCGGACACCATCTTACATGATCTGTATTTTACCAGAAATATGTCGGGTTCGTGAGTCAGTTACGGTCAATGAAGAATTAGCACTCTTGAACCGCCCTTTCGGTACCAATTAATTTGTCGGTTGTCTTTAATTGTGAAAATTAAGAATTTAAATTTAAATTTAAAAATTTGATTCGAATAATTACCTTTGACCGATTGAAATTACCCCTTTTGAAGGTTCTTGGCTCTGGTGAACGAAAATTGCCTTCTTCGAATGGAAAGGTCAGGTTTTTTACTTGGATCTTTGTTTCCTTCTTTGTATTTGAGAAATGATTTCTGGTTTTCTCCACTGGATCCCCTCGAACGGTTCTCTTTTTTTTTAACTTCGAATGAATCTGGTACCCTTTTTTTTATTCGGTACCAATTAATTTGTCGATTGTCTTTAATTGCGAAAATTAAGAATTTAAATTTAAAAATTTGATTCGAATAATTACCTTTGATCGATTGAAATTACCCCTTTTGAAGGTTATTGGCTGTGGTGAACGAAAATTGCCTTCTTCGAATGGAAAGGTCAGGTTTTTTACTTGGCTCTTTGTTTCCTTCTTTGTATTTGAGATATGATTTCTGGTTTTCTCCAATGGATCCCCTCGAACGGTTCTCTTTTTTTTTAACTTCGAATGAATCTGGTACCTTTTTTTTTTCTGGTTTTCGTTCGAGTCTTCCTCTGTTCCTCCCGTGATTTTTTGTGTTTCTGTTTCTCTCGTTTCTTCTCTGTATTTGTCTCGTAATATTTGCCTGTCAATCGTGTCCCCTTGTGCTCGGTTTACATCAATTTATAAGTTAAAAAAAAATCATATTTTTAGGCTATATTGAGCGTTTGATTCCGAGTAAAACACTGATGCTTGTTGTTTTTTGGCTTGCCTTTCTTGCGTCGGACGTTGCGGAGATGAGAAACCCGGTCGTTGGGGTGTACTGACGTGAAAAGTGGCGCAGGGGAGAGAAGGGAGCATGTACCACTTAAGAGATAGGGTTAGGGTTTCAACAACCCTAATCGATATGGGTCACTCCAGCAGGCCGGTTCTAGATGCTCCAGGTTGGCTTCGGGTTGAGGACTTGGATCTGGGTTGCACGAGTTGTTGGGTCCACTGTTGGACTACGAGCGTGTTTTTTATTTGTAATGGGCTTAGGGTCTGATCCTGAAGACAAAACGAAATAATAATAATAATATATGTTTATTATAATTATAATATATAATATATAATATAATATTCATATCATATGATACATATACTATATATTATAATAAAAAATACGGACGAAAATGAGTGTCTACAGATGCCCCTTTTTGTCCTTTTTCGTAGAACAAAAAATAGAACAAAGACAAAAGGACACAAATTTTCATTCGGTGGAGTTAAAGAATAACTCCCTTTCGAATGGAGTTGTGGATGGTTCCTCTTTCGTGAAGTTGAGTCCATCCTGAAATGATATGGAATTGAAGGCGTAGTCTGGAATTTGAATTGGAACGTGGCTTCTCGTTGCCAAATTGTAGTCAACTTCGGTCTTCTTCTCGGTTTAAAGTCCTTGGTTTAAAAATCCGACTGGAGAGTAATTCTTTGACTTCACCAAGTGGTTGATAGACACTCAAGCTGAATGAGATCGAACTCGAAATGTATTCGTTGACAGACAACTTTTCTCGACTTAAGCTATGCTACAAATGATGTGCCTTTGAGCCAAGCGTAACTGAACTTGAAGATTCAGGGTTTCAAGAGAAATATTTTCAAAGGTTTTTTTTTTCAAGAGAAACAATTTCAAAGGTTTTTGTGTTCAAAAGAAAATTTCCCAAGATTTTTTTTGTGTTTCAAGAAAAATTGTTTCAAAGGTTTTTTTTTGTGTTTCAAGAGAAACAATTTCAAAGATTGGTGCTTCAAGAGAAACTATCTCGAGAGAGACGAAATTTGTTTAAAGGAAAACATATTCAAGGATTTTGTTTCAAGGGAAACCGTCTCAAGAGAGACAAAATTTGTTTTAAAAGAAACTGTCTCAAGGGAGACGAAATTTGTTTTAAGGAAAACAGATTCAAAGATTTTGTTTCAAGGGAAACTGTCTCAATAGAGACAAAATTTGTTTTAAGAGAAAATGTCTCAAGAGAGACAAAATTTGTTTTAAGAGAAACTGTCTCAAGAGAGACAAAACTCTATTTCAAGGAAAACAAATTCGAAGTTTTTGTTTCAAGGGAAACCGTCTCAAGAAAGACAAAATTTGTTTTAAGAGAAAATGTCTCGAGAGAGACAAAACTTTGTTTTGAGTAAATTAGTCTTGAGTGAGGCGACCCCTTGTTTCTAGAGAAACAATCTCAAAGGTGATCGATAATCTGCTTGTTCATGCATGTTAAAGAAATCCTTTCAGAAGCTTTAATCGTTGACTTAAGGAAGTTAAATTTGTGGATGACATGTTTGTTATGACACCAAATCACTTCAACGGGCATGATATCCTTCTTCGTGAAGTTGAAATCGTGGATGGCTCATTCGCTGTGAAATTGAGCTTTTAATTGGATGTTCTTCATTGTGATGTTAAGATCCACACTTGTAAATTGCACTTCTTTTGAGTTCAATATCTTTCGCTGTGAAGTTGAAATTGACTCTAGGATGAATGTGCAAAATTATGCATATATGCGATGCTATGGATGTGATGCTCTTATGTATGCCTAAAATATATATGCGAAACATGTTATTTTAGGGTTTGGAGAGAAATCTCAATCTCTGGTTGTCAGTCTCGATGACTCTTGATGTTGGAATCTTGAATTTCTGATTCTTGATATTGGATTCTTCAATATGCTTAAATCCGATGTACATAAT